ATATTTATGTTTGTGGTTGTAATGTGACAAAATATGGAAAAGTTCAAGGGGTATGAATACTTTTGCAAACCACTGTATATATATATATTCTCTTTTTTTCAGGATAAATGTGGTACAAAAAAGGCTAGAAGGATTACAGATGTGTGTACTTTCCCCCTCTCATTTTTACCTTGACATTCCAGTGGAGGATTTAACAGTTCCTGGGAACACACTATGGACAAACAGGAAAATGTGTCATAAAACCACACATGTAGTGACCTGTTATAAAAGGCTCATTCCAAACGATTAATTTTGTAACTCTTTATGACTCTAAAACTTCTTTATGTTTCTGCTCTGAGATCATTTAGGACTGTGATTAAAGTARATTAAACAGGTGAGCCCCACCCTACCTTCATCTAAAGAAGGTGCGTCGAGTTTTTGCGTTGGCTTGGTCAAAACAAATATCTGATTGCCGAAGTTAACCCCGTCTGACAGAGTGATCACCATGGAGCCCTGGAGAGAACAAACATGTAAACTTTACAAGATGAGGTGACTTATCAGGAGTACAGAGTACATGAAAAAAAAAACAGTACCTTGTTCTGGTGTTGAGAAAGAACAGCATGATTGACTGTAAACTCCATCTTCTTGCATGTGGATAAGCCCACTGGTTGGTAACATACAGTCACAGAAGCTGCTGCAATAGAAAAGCACGGCAGGGGTTAGGCTAAGAACAAACAAACTTTATTTAATAAACATGTAAGATTTAACATGTAAGATTTGCTGCACGTCATACCTAACACATGAGCAAATCTTTTTTTAAAACTTTGGCTGTGTGCTGAGTGCATTTCTGTGAACCTGACTGAAGTCAGAAGATTAAAAATAAAGTTTCAAAGAAGAAATCCAGCCGAATTCAGACATACCATTTTGAAAAATGCATATTTTTCCAATAATTTGGTTGCTAACTAAACAGCCTATCTAATGTTACAACTAATCAGGGATCCCTTTGAAATTKAAAAAGAAAAACGTGTTGGCATGAACTGAAATCTAAGCATAATGGACACAAATCTAAGGATTTAGACAAACCTTCAAAATAATTACATAAGTCGTAAAAATGAAACTAAACTAAATGTGTAGTGCTGGATTGAAGCACAGATTGGAGCTGAGATGAAAGGCAAAGCTGACAGTTTTACCTGTCCATCTACATTCCAACACTGACCATCAGGTATGGATCATGTAAGGCTGTCTAAATGCGTCATCTGTTGGCACAGCTCAGCCCACAGTCAGCGTTTATGGACTTATTGCACTGAGTGGGCCTTGATAAGGATGGAGTTGCTATCACTGCTGCAGCTGGGTAAAAAAAACCAGCAACCGATGTTTCTGTTAATTTCGCTCGACACGCTCCACTGCAGGCAAAGAAGAAGGCAACTTTAGATTTCTGTGATGGGCTTACTCGTCAAGTTCAAACCAGAAGTTTAAAAAAATGAATAAAGGTAAACAAGAACATTTTCCTGCAGCAACATGCAGSTCACACGTGATAGTAATCTCAAGTTTCTTGCAGTTTTTAGGAGTAACTGATGACTTAGTGCCGAACAGCACGTTTCACAATCTACTTTTATACAACATAGGGGTACTTTGCCCCTCATAGGGAAACCTAACCTTGTTACGTTAGGCTGCAAAGGGACTGTGTTCTCTCTAGTCGGAAAACACACTGGGATCCTGTTGGAGGAGATAGTGGATAGATATACTTCCTTGACCTAAACTTGGAAAATCTGTGTAAAGATCTTGACTCTCCTACAGCTCCTGTGTCAAAATGAGTCATGAGGCCTCAATTTTATATATAAAAAAAGGTTGTGTAATTTTAACTTGAAGGCAGAAGGACGTTTAAGTGGGGAAATACTTACACAGGACTAGATTCAACCAGTCTTTTTACAATAGATATTTCCTCAGTCATCAAACCAACTCTTTACATCTAACATCATACTTGAATTTTGACACAAAAATAAAAACAAAGTTGTTTTTCACTGCAGGTGGATTTCCTTCAAGCAAGGCAAAGTTTTCTGAGTTGACTCAGATTACACAGTGAAATAATAAAAAGTTAACTTACGTTTTTCACCCATTGTCTCCTTGTAGTCTTCATCACCGCCAGAATGATCTTCTGCATCCAAATTCTTATCCAGAGGGATGTGGAGCTCTATCTCTATCACCAGACACAGCGTGCATGCTGGTTTGTCCTTACAGCAGAGCTTAAAACCTGGTTGAATCTTCTGAACATCAAAGCTGCTATTTGCTTGAAAAAGAACATTTTCTATGGTGCAGTCAGAAAGACCCTTGGAAACAGACAAYAAAAGAGAGGGAGGTGCAAATTTCACCCAAGGAACTGAACAAACAGCAAATTTTGACTGCTCTGCACACAAAACTCCTGTTGCCAGATGGCATGCTATCAGTTTTTAATTAAATTTGAGGATGAATTACTTAGAGAAATTACATGTCAGGGCTATGTCAATACTGAAAGGAAATTAAAATGTGCAAACGTCCAATAAAAACACTCCTTCCTGTGTGCAGCTCAGTGAATGGAAAGTGTGCATTTTACAATACCTGTGAGCAAACAACTGTATTGGTGTCATATTCAGATATTTCCAAACTCCAGGCCGACYCATACAGAGTCAGTAAGAGGCACACGATCCATCCAGGGGAAAACATTGTGCTTCAGAGAGCCATAAACGTCCAACAGCATACTTCTTCACATCTCCTGTTCAGGTCCAGTGTGACATCCTAGTTGAGCAGGTGCATTGTTTTCCTCTTCATCATGCAAACTGGCATGTAAGGCAGTGAGCTGAGACGAGCCTGTTTCCTGGGTGCCACCTCTGTTTGTAGCCTGGCAAAGAAGAGATTAAAGTTACCTCTTTGCTTTTAGTTTAATTGAAAGTTCAAACAAACTTATCAAATAGGACATCTGAAAGAAATGTTGCCATTTTTTTAAAAGTTCATAGAACCACCTAAAATATGTCCTATGATGTCTTAAAACACAATCAACCGAAGATAAAAACAGAAAAATGGAAGATAAAGTAGGAATGTGTTAATGTAACTTAACAAATTATACAAGTAAGCCCATCAAAGGTCATTTAGATTACTTACAGTACTGAGAAATCCACAGAAAAGCTCTTTCAAAGTGTGTGCATCCGTTGGTTGTCAGACACATTACACCTTGTCAAAGTAAGCTGTAAGTGTGTGAGTCATGTGAAAACTACACCACACCTCTCATCAGAGTCCTGACTCGTGAAACGTCCCACCCTCTTCTCTCTCTCTCTCTCTCTCTCTCTCTCTCTCTCTCTCTCTCTCCTTTTTGTGTCTCACGAAATCCTGAAACTTCCTGTTTTGTTCCTCATTACAGAGTAACCAACTCAAACCACATGGGGTTAAAGTCCACATGCCTATTTAAAAATTTTTTTATTAAAAACAAACAGAAATAATCATTTAAGTTCATTTTTACACAAAGATGTGTGTTTAGCTTCTCATAGCTGCTTTATGAACATCAGTAGATGTTATGGTAACCTTTCTTGTAGTTTGCACTTTGCTGTTCTCACCAATGGGTTTATCGTCTTTTTCTCAATAGCTCACATACCTTTGCTCCACAGTAATAAGTGACGAGTTTGCTAAGGTTACACAAAGACACACGCCTCTCAGGGGAGCTTGACTGGTTTGACCACATAAATCAAATACAAAACAGCTTTCGAGGAAAATATGTGCAGACAAACAACTGTGGTGTGACTTGTAAACTGGGGAAAACAAAAACTATGTATTCACTTTAGAGGAAGAGAGCTGTGTTTATTACTGTGAGGCAGGAGGGTCTGGAGTTTRCAGTTTAATAAGGATCTGTCACTCAGAGGTTTCTACCTGGCTGCTATAATTTCTAGGTGAAGATGAGGTTTWTGTTCTGTTTTAACAACCTGTTGTCAAACATGAAACAGAGCAGAACAGGCTCCACCTCTATAACGACACTCTGCTGCTCACTGTTGATCTACTAAATATAAATATAAAAGACATTCACTTTTTAGAAAATAAACTATTTTCTCCATCATTTATTTGTTTTACATTTTTTCTGTTTGATGCTAAAAGACAGTTATGTTATTTCCTTTGTGTRTGATTGTTTTGTTACCAAAATGTCAGGAACCCGGGAACAGATTTGGTTCCCTAACATTAATCACTGGATATACATTTACAACTGATTATCACTTGGAGTCAATTCGATTCAAAATGACCATCACTGCTAATTAACCTTGAAAAAGCMCAGAAATGCTTGTAACTTAGTTCATTTAACACATCTTGGCCTTAACTTTGGAGTGGTAGTAGCTGAGAGTCATTTCCAACACATATTTGTAGTGCTCCAAATAGCAAAAATATCTTTGTTAAAACTTTGGCATTTCCTTGTTTGTCTGTTATCAAAATATCATAAACTACTGGACACATTTAACAAAAATCTCAGAAATTCATTGTTGAGTCTACAGCAGATTAATTTTTGGACTCATTTGAAGTTGGTTGCGGTTAGAATGTCCAAAATGTCATCTGTTGTGAGGTGACCACCCCAAATAAACACTTTTCTAAATGCATGGTGTTATATTAAAATGTTAATGTTAAAAAAATTTAGAAAGCGCTGAGTGACCTGTTTCAGCTGCACATAGGTATATTTTTGACACCATTATCTTCATTTATTTACCRTTATTTTACCAGGCAAGTCCCATTGAGATCTCAGATCTCTTTTTCAAGGGCGGCGTGGGCCTGAAGGCAACCTGTTGTACATGTTTTGGGGGGTGGGGGAAACCGGAGTACCCAGAGAAAACCCACGCAAGCACGAGAACAACATGCAAACTCCACATCGAAAGACCCCAGGTCCGAACCGGGGATCGAACCCAGGACCTTCTTGCTGCGGGGCCATCGTGCTTCATGCTAGACTAAATACATCTGGAGTRTGACGCGATTTGTGTCATATCAGATGTGATGGATCAGTTACAAACTAGAAGGCTGTCAGAATGCTCTATTTATATTTCTCATCCAAAGAATTATTTTATCCAACAGGATCTTACATTTTTCAAATGCAAGATGTAGAAAGTKCAGATAATTGAGTGAAGAAGAATGGAGAAGAAGTACAAACTCTGCTGAAAAATAATTACTCAAGTAACAAAGTATTTTTACTTTGTTTTATTTTTATAACTCTTCTGTGACTAACTGTGAGTTTGTCACAATTTGCAGGCAAAAAACCCAGGACGCAGGCAGGTTAAAAAAAAATCAAAAATAAGGTCTTTAATATAAAGTAAAAGGCTGGCAGTGCAGTACAAAAAACTCACAAGGTTTGGTACACAGGTTCAGGAAACATGAAAGCATTACTCAGTCAAGGTAGACAGCACAATGATCGGACGAAGACAAGATCACAAGACACTGAATATAAAGGGAAACTAATGAGGACAATGAGAAACATCTGGAGCAGACACAAGAGGAAACAGGTGAGCGAGGGCGGGGCTGCAGGGCAGAGAAACACAGGGAAACACTGAAACACTAGAAAAAACCAAGTAACCAAAAACACAGACCATGACAGTACCTCCCCCTTAACAACGGCTCCTGACGTCGAAAAAGGAGGGGCACGGGACTCGGGGACACATGACAGGACAGACTCAACATGACACAACAAAATCAGGASGACAGCCAGGAAACCATCCAAAACGGGGCCCGAAAGGAACTGGAGGTCCAACAGGAAATGGAGGCCCAACAGGAACAATGGCGGATGACCCAGGCAACAGGGCCRCGATGGGCGATGACCCAGGCGACAGGGCGGTGATGCTCGATGACCTAGGCAACAGTGAGGCGATGGCCGATGACCCAGGCGACACGGCGGCGATCGGCGATGACCTAGGCCACAGGGTGGCGATGGGCGACAACCCAGATGATGAGACGATGGGCAACGTATCAGGTGATGAGGCGGCAACAGCAGCCAACCCAAATGTCGTAGAGGTGCCAGAAGCTGACCCACGAACTTCAAGGACCGCCGACTCGGGACTCGCCAACTCAGGAGACACTGGGACCACTGACTCAGGAGACACTGGGACCGCAGACTCAGGAGACACTGGGACCGCMRACTCAGGAGACACTGGGACCGCAGACTCAGGAGACACTGGGACCACTGACTCAGGAGACACTGGGACCACTGACTCAGGAGACACTGGGACCACTGACTCTGGAACCGCCGGAACCAGCGACTCTGGAACCGCCGGAACCACAGACTCAGGGTACTTTGTCAACTCAGAAGACCAAGAAGACTCAGAAGACTTGGTTTCCGGAACAACCAGTTCGGGCATCGAAGGTCCAAAAACCGCCGGAGCCAGTACCAGAATAACAGGCAGGGAGGGAGGGTGGGCATCGGAGCTCCCCGCCAGGACTGCCTGGGCGAACGCGGCGACTCTCTGATGGCCAGGCATCTGCAGCAGCTCGACACAGCCAGAGTCTGTAGTCAGGAGTGGGGGACCACCGGAGCATCGTCAGCGCACTTCAGACCAGAGGGTGTGTCTCCCGTTCCCCCGACGGCAGCAGTGAAGGGACCAGCTCCTCTGAAGCAGGGGAGAAAAGGCTGGCCCAGGAAAAAGGCTGATCAGAAAAAGACTGCGACTGCCTGCAGGCTGGGTATTGTGGTCCGATCATTCTGTTACGATTTGCAGGCAAAAAAAACCCAGGGCGCAGACAGGTTCAAAAAATCAAAAATAAGGTCTTTAATATAAAGTAAAAGGCCACCAACCAAGGAACCAAAGCCACAGACCATGACAGAGTTTTTGGCCAGGTTTTGTCAGAAAGGGTGTCCGATGTAAAACAATTGTCATGCTGTTTCTGCAACTTCATTACTTTATTGATTCTGAAAAAGGATCAGTCTAAACAATTGTTTTTTATGTAGTCAAAAATTGTTCCCAAAAAATACTGCAAGTGCAACTTTGCAATGGCACTAAACAGTTATAATTTTGTCATTTGTCAACATGAGATAATATTTTTATTGAAATATTTGATATAAAAGGCAGATGTTGATATTCTTTGAAGGAATGCAAATCTTTAATAAAAGTTGATGACATTTGTCTTCATAAAAATCTGTACAGGTACATTGATCAAGATATGATTAACAGTAATCTTTTAGCTTTAAATGTTTCATAAAAATGAGTATTAGCAGTTTAGGAATCATCCATCCATCCATCCATCCATTTTCTGTACACACTTCTTCCTTTTCAGGGTTGCGTGGGTCACTGGTGCCCATATCCAGCAGTCACAGTGCGAGGGGCGGGGTACACCCTGGACAGGTCGCAAGTCCATCACAGGGMCAGTTTAGGAATCACAGAGAAGCTATTTTGCTGAAGCTCTGAGCTGACTAAATTACAGTTGAGAGACTTGGTGCATCACTGTCCTAACACATACTGACCTGACAGCAGATGCCTGGGAAKAAAACAAAGCCAATCAGGCTGCTGGTTATATGTACAACTTATCACATGCAAACAGCAAGTAATTCTAGAAATGCAGTCCTAACTGAACACTATGTACCAGAAACTTCATATAACTTTCTCTTTTGGTCTTCACCATGTAAACAGTATGTGCAGCAAGYGACTTTAAAGGTTACATTTCCTACATTCTTTGCACATTATGATGCTGGTTCAACAAAGGTTGTGTCATTACAAACCAGTTTCAAACAAGGTCCAATTACAYGCCTGGAAGTACAATTTCTGGCTATGTTACTAAGTTGACTTTAAAAGTGAATAACAAAAACACAGAGCAGATCATTATAATGTCAACACTGCCTATTTGAGTCGAAGTGTTGAGATGTGTTTATTTTTTTTACACCAACATGCCTCTGACTGTTTGAGATGTTTGGAAACTCAATGTTTATTATTCAACTGAACTAATTTTCAACATAAAACAATGTATTTTTCAGTTTTTGTCTTATTTACCATTTCAATCACTTGTGTTTTCTACATAAGTCAGCATAGTGTTGTTAAATCTGTGCAGAGATGAAATCTTCAATAGGTCTCTGCAGAGCATGATCAGGTGAAACGAGCCAGCAGGTTGTTGCCACAGGAGGGGAAATACTGTAGTCATCAGCAGAGGAGCTACAAAAATGAACAAAAAGGGCTAAAATATTGAATCTAATCATCAAGAAATGCAAACGACAATTTGCACGTACAAAATGTACCTGATAAAAGAAATCTCTTGATCTTTAATTTTCAGAATTGTTTGATTTTGCTTCACCTCCTTGTAATCTGCAGGATTTAAAGCTGCACAACAAATTTTAACGACAACAAAATATGAGAATCATGAAATGTTCAGAATAAATGCAATAAAAATCTGCAAGAAGTTGAACCAATTCAGCTGCAAATCATTCAATATGTTGTTGATTTGATGTTATTGAAATAAAAGGTGAAAACCCCTGAAAAACGTGTTAATTTTTTTTAATTTAACATAAGCATAAAACTTAAAAACATGATTTTTTTTTCACCAGAGCAGAAAATGTTTGTAGATGGTGAAAGATATATACAGACAAAATTGTTTAAAAATTGCAAAGCAACAAAATCAGTCTATGTAAGAGAACTAAAGGCATAGTTTACCATTTCTAACTTACTGCGGTAAAGACTCATCAGATTTTATTTTCAATCACAAAACCAAACACATTTTATTAAGTAATGCAGAGCTGTAAATATAAACCMATTTGTCACTCACCTAAAATCCCTTCAGTGTTGTTGGCAGATGGCGTCTGTCTTAAAACTGGCCAAAGGAATTTGTTGCCATTCTTCTTGTGAGCTAAGATGACCACCTGCATGTCTTCAACAGAAACATCTGTTTCATTGTCTGTCTTGATCAYGGTCACACTGGAAACATTCACACAGCCTGGTATTAACTTCTCCATCCTACTTTGAAAATGTTTTTTTAATACAATTACAGGTGAAGAAAGTTTAATGAGTCAATTGTGTCTAAAAAGAAACTTACTAATTTTTGGCTTGAAATTCTTTCTGTTTGTTTTGTACATTTGTAAATTGACTTGTCATATCTGATGTGATCAAAACAACAAATCAAGGCAGCAGCAGAACTGGTTTTCCACATAGGTTATTACCGATCACAGCTTTTTGTTGTTGTTGTTGAGTCTCGATTTGAGTAGACTAAGTGAACAACAACTAAAAGTACAATATTGTAGTTTCATTGTTTTGCAAAAGTTGGAACAAGATTATTCTACAACAAGTTCTGTTCACACTATTTGTCCTGCAAATTTGTAAGAAATGTGCATCGTTCCTTTATTTTAAAGATTCAGTGTTATCTATCTATCTATCTATCTATCTATCTATCTATCTATCTATCTATCTATCTATCTATCTATCTATCTATCTATCTATC